AAATTAGCCAGGCATGGTGGCATATACCTATAGTCCCAGCTACTCGGGAGGCTGAGACAGCAGGATTGTTTGAGCCCAGGAGTTTGAGGTTGCTGTGAGCTAGGCTGATGCCATGGCACTCACTCTAGTTCTGGGCAACAAAGTGAAACTCTGTCTCAAAAGAAAAAAAAAAAAAAATAAGGCAAAAGACTGAATGTTGCTCCTTAGATTGCTAGAAAGATAGTGACATTCTCCTCCAGAACTGGGGTCAGCAAACTTTTCCTATAAAGGACCATATAAGGCTGGGCGCAGTGGGTCACGCCAGTAATCCTAGCACTCTGGGAGGCCGAGGCAGGAGGATCAGTCAAGGTCAAGAGTTCGAAACCAGCCTGAGCAAGAGTGAGACCCCGTCTCTACTATAAATAGAAATAAATTAATTGGCCAACTAATATATATCAAAAAAAAAAAAATCAGCCGGGCATAGTGGCGCATGCCTGTAGTCCCTGTTACTCGGGAGGCTAAGGCAGTAGCATTGCTTGAGCTCAGGAGTTTGAGGTTGCTGTGAGCTAGGCTGATGCCACAGCACTCACTCTAGCCTGGGCAACAAAGCAAGAGACTGTCTCAAAAAAAAAGGACCATATGATAAATATATTGGGCTTTATAGGCCATATGGTTTCTGTCTCAAGTACTCTGTAGCTTAAGAGTAGCCATAGATAATATGTAAATGAATGGGTGTGGCTGTGTTCCAATAAAATTTTATTTAAAAAAATGGTAGGCAGGCCAGATTTGACCCACAGGCTATAATTTGCTGCTTCCCCTGATCTAGAATAGTAAATACAGGAGTAGGGACAGATTTTTTATAGGGTGGGACAAGGAAAATAGTGATCTCAGCTTTGTACATACTAAGTTTCAGATGGACTGTGGAACATTCTGGTAGATTTTTTAACAGGCAGTTAGCTTTTGGGTCTGGAGACTGGGGAAAAAAAATCCAAGAGAGAGGCTGGGCACGGTGGCTCATGCCTGTAATCCTAGCACTCTGGGAGGCCAAGGAGGGAGGATCGTCAAGGTCAGGAGTTTAAAACCAGCCTGAGCAAGAGCAAGACCCCGTCTCTCCTAAAAATAGAAAGAAATTAATTGGCCGAGTAAAAATATATAGAAAAAATTAGCCAGGCATGGTGGTGCATGCATGTAGTCCCAGCTACTCGGGAGGCTGAGGCAGAAGGATTGCTTGAGCCCAGGAGTTTGAGGTTGCTGTGAGCTAGGTTAATGCCATGGCTCTGTAGCCGGGGCAACAGAGTGAGATTCTGTCTCAAAAAACAACAAAACAAAAAAAAAACCCAAGAGAGATTGAAGAGTCATTCATGTGTAAGTGGAAGCTTAAAGTGGATATTTTTGTGGAGCTCCTGAGATGAGGCTACCCTGGGAATGGGTTAAAGTGAAAAGAAGGCCAAAGACTAAACCCTGAAGAGTCTAGTAGTTAAGGAAGGACCTGTGGATAGAGAGAAGAAACAGCCAGAAAAATATGAGGATTACCTTTGAAGGAGACAGAATCATGTCCTAGAACTAAGAAAATGAGGTTTCTCAAAGAACAACATGGTCATCAATATCAAATAGGTCAGGGAAAACAAGAGCTGGAAAGTGTCCATTGCATTTGAAAGTAAGGATGCCACTGGTGAACCCGATGACAAGAATTTTGGTAGAATGGCAAGGTTCCCTGAGTGTAATGGGCATGGGAGTCAATAGATGGTGAGGATTATAGGCAAGATGTGTAGGCTTTTTCTTTTTTAAAAAAATAAAGGAAAGACAAAGCCAGTAGTTGCCACAAGCAACTTTTTGTTTTGGTTTCATTTTTAAAATATTGTTGTTTTATTGTGACAGACTTAAGAATATAAACATATTCAGGAAAAGGCACTAATGGAATAGTTGAATATAGAGAAGTGAGGTAATAGGTAGAAGAGCATTCTGGAAGAGATGGCTGGGAGTACCTGGGAGTTCAGGAAATCACTAACCTTGAACAGCAGCTGATATTATTTTCCCCTTTACCCTTAGGCTGAACCAGAGACCCTTCTAAACACAGCCTGTGCTCTTGCCCGGGAACACCCTCTGCCCAATGATAGCACCTTCTTGGGAAACATCTTTACGGCAGCAGCAGATGAAGGTTAAAGGCCCTGGGATGTGGGGTGGGAAAGTTGTGACCCTGCTCTGGATATCTTCAGCTGTTGAAGATGCCCACCATCAGGCCTACCTCTCCCTGGCTTCTGTTATGGCACACCCCTGACTGGGTCACCAGAGGGGCCCTCTGTCATGGTTGATTTTTATTTTAGAGCCAGAATCAGCTCCTGTGCCCTTGCTTGGAAGTGACAAGAGTGCTTTCACCCGAGTAGCATCAATGGTTTCCCTTCAGCCTACAGGTTAGGATGGGCTCCAGGGATCCTGCCTCATTTCTAGAAAATCTGGTGGTGATGAGTAAAGACAAAAGCAGTGGGAAGTGCTTTGCTCTAAAAACCTCAATTCTACTTGGGCTCATTTTATTTTTGCCTTTTGGGATCTGTAATGTTCCGGATGTTCAAATCCTATGGGTGGAGGACATGAATAAGAGTTGTGGAAATGATGGCTATACATTCCTTCCTTCTAGGGCTGAAGGGCTATACCTCTATCTGGGACTTTCTCTTTCAGAGACCCCAGGCATGGAGAAGAGCCTGGCAGAAATGCGTACTATCACTCTTGAACTTCAGAGCCTTTGTTCCCTGCTGCAAGAGTCTAAAGAAGAAGCCATCAGGACTCTGCAGCAGAAAATGTGAGTGAGATGCAGTCTTGGTGACAGAGGGAGAGTGAGACAGCTTCTAAAGCCAAGGGCCCAGCTGGCCCCTGAGAGGGCAGGAATGATGCTAAATTCTTTCCTCCCCTAGCTGTGATCTGCAGGATAGGCTGCAGGCCCAGGAAGAACAGCATCAGGAAGCCCAGAAGGCAAAGGAAGCAGACATAGAGAAGCTGAACCAGGCTCTGTGCTTGCGCTACAAGGTGAAGGAGGGGCCTAGAAGTGGGGCGATGAAGAACTGGGGCAGCCCTACTGGTCCACTGGGAGCCACTGTCTCTTCAGGAATCTGGGTGGTAGCAATTTTCCAACAATTGCCCTAGTTTTGCCCTTCCTGGGGTCACACATTTCACATATTTGGGAATCAGCTATGGGCTGACCTATCTTCCCAGGGAGACCCAGGAGGGAAGTCAGGAATTCTAGCAGAACTCTCCCAACACTGCAATGTGCCTTGCCTGCCTTGGCTCTGGAGGGAGAATTGGAGTGGTATTGACTGGTCCCACCTGGGCTGAACATGGGTCAGGCACTCTCTCCACTCTCCTGGCAAGGGCTACAAAGAATCCAGTTCTCCCTCAATGTCTTCTCACCTCCCTTTCCTTTACAGAATGAAAAGGAGCTCCAGGAAGTGATACAGCAGCAGAATGAGAAGATCCTAGAGCAGATAGACAGGAGTAGTGAGCTCATAGTACGTTCATCATGATGCCCAGCCTCTGCCCTCTGTGTCACTGGTAGCCAGGATCTCAAAATGAGAAGTAGATACCCTGGTCAACCTTTGTAGACCTTATCACCACATGGGATAAGTAGGATAGAAAAGAGAGCCTTTGAGGGTTATTGGATACCTCTCCATTCTCACTTCCAGAGCCTCAGAGAGGAGGTGACCCAGCTCACCCGTTCACTTCGGCGTGCAGAAACAGAGACTAAAGTGCTCCAGGAGACCCTGGCGGGCCAACTGGACCCCAACTGTGAGCCCATGGCCACTAACTGGATCCAGGAGAAAGTGTGGCTCTCGCAGGAGGTGACTCAGAGTTAACAGAGGAGCTGGGCAGCTGGTGGGGACTCCAGGCTTTGCCTCTATTGATCTGGACATATCTATAGGTGGACAAGCTGAGGGTGATGTTCCTAGAAAAGAAAAATGAGAAGGAAAAACTCATGGTCAAGTTCCAGAGCCATGTAAGAATTTCCATGTCGTTCCCTGACCATTTCCTACCATGACTAGCAAGTGCCCTGTCGTGTCTCCCCTGTCCTACCAAGCCATGCTGTTCTTTTGAGCATAACACTTAAGAAACCTAATTGCTTTCTAGAGAAACATCCTAGAGGAAAACCTTCGGCGCTCTGACAAGGAGTTAAAAAAACTAGATGACATCGTTCAGCATATTTATAAGGTAAAGAAAGGTGGGAGTTGATGTGACTAAGGCATAAGGCCCGGCCCCAGGAGGTACTGATGAGCATAGCTCTGGCTCTCAGCCTCTGCTGAGAGCTGGGCCTGACTCACTATTGCAGCCTTCTCTGAGGCTTCTGTTTTGCCCTTCTAACTCAGTGGCTGCTTCCTGGGGCTGGGAGCCTTGGGCCTTAGGCGCATGGTCCTGAGCTGCTGGTTTTGCTCCTCTTCTCAGACTCTGCTGTCCATCCCAGAGGTAGTGAGAGGTTGCGAGGAGCTACAGGGATTGCTGGAATTTCTGAGCTAAGAAACCGAAAGCTGGAATCTGCTTCACCTCTTTTTACCTGCAAGAGCCCCTTACCCTGATATCAAGACCAATCGGAATACAGCTAACTATGTTTAATGCTATTTAAATAAAGTGTATTTAATGTATTTTTTCACTCAGTCTTATATTTTGGGTGGGAGGGGGTGGATGAGGTCAGGGAAGAGGCAGCTGGGCCCTCCTCCTTAGGCACCCTCTGCAGATCCCTCCACCTCCAGCTGCATCGAAAGCCAAGGCTGTCTGCCCTTCCTCCCTTCCCTTGCTTCCCCCAAAACTCTGGGCACTTGGACTGCTTGTTCCCTGGCTTACCGCCTGGGGGAAACAGAAAAGGCTTCATTCTCTTACTTTCCCCATCCCCCTCAGGGGTAGGCCTCGGTAAATATGGGGGTGAGGGCAGAGAAACTCAGTTCATTGCTCCCACCCCTGAACTTGGGTACCTTGTTGGTGCCTCTGTTCCACCTACTCAACCTGTTGTGACTGTTTAGGTGACTTCTCTTCACCAGGCCAGGCTTAATCCCCCACATCCAGCAAGTGCCCAGCACATGGTAAAGGCGATTGTGGCAGAAACGAACACAAGGCCATTTCCTGCCTCTAGGGCCCTGGTGGCAGGGCTCCACGAGGTGGGAGGGGGACAGTCCATAACAGCCTCCGAGGTCCTGGCAGGGGAGTCACTCCACCTCGCCGCCCCGCCTCTGTGGGCATGGCCTTGCCCGGCACCAGTCCTGGGGAGGGGTGTGGCGAGGGCGGGGAGATGCAGGCCCCACCCCGCGGAGGAGTCACGTAGCTCTGCGGCACCCGCAGCTTCATTTACGCGAGCCAGCCAGAGCTGGAGCTGCAGTTGTTGCCGACCAGAGCCGGAGCTGCTAACTGGCTGCGCACAGGTAAAGTCTAGGCGAGGCGGGAGCTGCTCGGCATCTCTGCTTCCTCTCCTTGGCTCTTCCCCTTGGCCATCCTTCTCCTGCTCCCTGAGGCCCCTGGATGTGCTTTTGCGGCTCTTTCCTAACATCCTTGATCCTTTCTGTCCACTGGAAACCCCATGGCTCAGCTTCTCCCATTCCACCCCTTCCTCTTACTCTGCCACCTGTACCTCAGCTTTTCCAGTCCCCAATCTTCCTCTATGTCTTAGATTTTTCCTTGGGGTCAGCCTCTCCCATCCAGACCATTTTCATCTCAGCTTACTCCCTCTCCTCCTAGGGGAGGTCCCCTCTTCAGTTCTCCAGCATTCTCTGTACCCTGGTCTGAGTCTGTCCCCCTGACTGGTTAGCTTGCATCACCATCACCTTCCCCAAGTCTCCTTCCCACGCCTGCGTCTCCCTCCCTTCTCAGACTCTCTACTCCTATCAGCCTTAATCCTCTGCCCTGTTTCCGCACTAGGTGTCTGAGTTGTGGGATATTGAAGTATTTCCTAATTCCCATCCCTCTCCCTACACAGGTAAAGTGCTCCAGGCACTAGAGATGACCTGGCAGTGTCACCTCCCCTAGCCTTCACATACTACTGTAGCTGACCTGCTGGCCCCCTTTCCTACAACACTTTGCGGCCCTGCTGGGGCCACCTTTTGGCCGTGGGGTGGGAGTAGGCAATAGGCATAGGCATTCAGGTTGGGAGTACAGAAAAGAAGCAGCTGTGGAAGCCTGTGACAGGCATTTGTGCCACTCCAGCACCCTACCTGCTCCCCTCCTCCCAACCTTTTCCTCTAGAAGCTGAGGGAAGGGGATAGTGATAAGTACTTTTGCCTCATTCTGAAGACTTGGAAGTAAGTACACTTGTCCTAGGGGTCCTGTTGAGGATGAGAACAGGGAAGCTGGGAAGGCCAGGGCTTTTGCCTACCTCAAGAAGGCCAAGTTCATGAAAGAAGGGCTGGCATCCTCAACTGGGCAGCAGATTCATAAGAAGACTTGTAGCTCCAGGGCTGCTCCCTCCCTACCCCCACCCTGCATCTTTCTCCAGGGCTGGGAAGGGTGCCCACCAGGGACAAAAGGGGATGTGGGAACTGGGGCCCTAAGCCTGCTAGCTGTCAGAGGGATTGGTGCCACTTTGATGCCTAGGACTCATGCCAAGGATTGCCCTGTTCCCAGCCCTATACTTGATGGGGGAGGCCATTTGGCCCATCTAGCCAGGAGGGGCAGCAAGGGAGGTAGTGGGCGAGGTCCAGCTTTTATGTCTTGTCTCCATTCCAGAGAGCTGCTGCCATGCCTCACTCGTACCCAGCCCTTTCTGCTGAGCAGAAGAAGGAGTTGTCTGACATAGCCCTCCGGATTGTGGCCCCAGGCAAAGGCATTCTGGCCGCAGATGAGTCTGTAGGTAGGTGGGAGTCTGTGGCCAGGTGGCATCAAGTGCCCAGGGAGCTCAAGGGACAGCCTTATTGCCCTCTTTGTTTGCTTCCAGGCAGCATGGCCAAGCGGCTGAGCCAAATCGGGGTGGAAAACACAGAGGAGAACCGCCGGCTGTACCGCCAGGTCCTGTTCAGTGCTGATGACCGTGTGAAGAAGTGCATTGGAGGTGTCATTTTCTTCCATGAGACACTGTACCAGAAAGATGATAACGGTGTTCCCTTCGTCCGTACCATCCAGGATAAGGGCATTGTTGTGGGCATCAAGGTGCAGTGCCTGGCCCTGAATGGGGGCTGGGTGTGGAAACAGGTTTGTGTAGGAGGGGTGGCAAGGGGAATCCTACCTGGTTCAGCCCTCTGCCTGTGCTTCTCTTACAGGTTGACAAGGGTGTAGTGCCTCTAGCAGGGACTGATGGAGAAACCACCACTCAAGGTACAGGCTGGGTGGGCTTCAGGACCAGAGAGGTGTTAGGTGGTTGATGCTGGCACGAGGGGCAGGATGATGAGGCTGGCACTATGCTTGCAGGGCTGGATGGGCTCTCGGAACGCTGTGCCCAGTACAAAAAGGATGGTGCTGACTTTGCCAAGTGGCGCTGTGTGCTAAAAATCAGTGAACGCACACCCTCAGCACTTGCCATTCTGGAAAATGCCAACGTGCTGGCCCGCTATGCCAGCATCTGCCAGCAGGTATGTGTGTTGGTAGGGGCAGTCAGATGGGAGCTCTGTGACTAGTGGGAGAGGGTTGTTGGGCTTTCTCCCTTCTGCCCTACCCCCCCTCCCAAGCCATTCTGCTCTTGCCTGCAGAATGGCATTGTTCCTATTGTGGAGCCTGAGATCCTGCCTGATGGAGACCATGACCTCAAACGCTGCCAGTATGTTACAGAGAAGGTGAGTCCACACCTGGGCACAGACACATGCCACAGGGAAGCCTGGCAGAGGTGCCTGTTCCCCAGAGCTCCTGGCTTAGATCCCTAAGCACTTACCCCTAGAGTTCTGTCACTTCACCCAGGACAGGCCTGTGAATCTGAGCTTGTCCTGAGCCCTCCTAGTCCATGCCACCCATCCTAGACAGGGAGCATGGAGCAGTAAGCAGGGGCGCCCAGATACTTATTAAACTTCCTCTGATCCCCAGGTCCTGGCTGCTGTGTACAAGGCTCTGAGCGACCATCACGTGTACCTGGAGGGGACCCTCCTCAAGCCCAACATGGTGACCCCTGGCCATGCCTGTCCCATCAAGTATAGCCCAGAGGAGATTGCCATGGCAACTGTCACTGCCCTGCGTCGCACTGTGCCCCCAGCCGTTCCAGGTACTACCCTGCTCCCTCATCTGCTACTATCCCTAAGGCTTATCTCTTCTCGTGGCCTTTATAGGTTCCTTACCCTGGAAAAATGGGGGGTGACCAGTTTGTCTTCCCTTCTCCATCCTAGGAGTGACTTTCCTGTCTGGGGGTCAGAGTGAAGAGGAGGCATCCCTCAACCTCAATGCCATCAACCGCTGCCCACTTCCCCGGCCCTGGGCCCTCACTTTCTCCTATGGGCGTGCCCTGCAGGCCTCTGCACTCAATGCTTGGCGAGGGCAACGGGACAATGCTGGGGCTGCCACTGAGGAGTTCATCAAGCGGGCTGAGGTTGGGAGCTAGCGGTGGAGGTGGTTGGGGGGCAGCACCCAGAGGATGCTGCCTGGGCAGGGTTTGGCACCTGTGGCCTGGCTCAACCTGCTTACCCCACTTTCCTTTTTGCAGGTGAATGGGCTTGCAGCCCAAGGCAAGTATGAAGGCGGTGGAGAAGATGGTGGAGCAGCAGCACAGTCCCTCTATGTTGCCAACCATGCCTACTGAGCATCCACTCCACACCGCAACTCTTGGTCCAGCCACCTGCACCCGCTTTTGCGTGTAGTCACAGCCAGGGCCAAATAGCCATGCAGAGCAGAGATGCCTTCATCTAGAACAAGTTGACTACCTTTTCCTCCTCCCCTTCCGTCTCCTATTGCTGCACCTGGGACTGTAGGCTGGGAGGATAGGGAGCCTCTCATGACTGAGGGCAGGAGAACTTGCTAGAAGTTAAAACAGGATGCCTGGGTCTTCCACACTGCCTCTGCCAGCTCCCCCACAACTTCCCCATGATGAGGTAGCTTCTCCTTGGGCTCTCCTTGCCTGCCCTCTCTCCTGGGATCAGAGGGTAGTACACCAGCCCTGATTCATGCCTTGAACACATACAAACAGCAAATAAATGGTAGCAAAACATGCTACTTTGTCTGTCTGTTTCACACATCAAATTCCCCCCTCTAAGTTTCTTATCTCTGCTAATTCTACTCTGGGATCTCTGATTCTGGAGGTAGAGAGGACAGGATTTGAATTTTACTGGGCTTCAAGTTTATGGAGGAAGGGCACACCCAGTCACCATCCCCAGCCTGTTGATGTCCAAGGCTGGAGTGGGGCAGTGAGGAAGGCTGTGAGTCTTCCAGGGACTGCCACATCAGTGGCACTAGAATGCAGCTACAGAGGATGGAGTGAGACAAGACTCGAGCAACTCCTGAAGGAAAATTTTGTGGAAGGCTCTAAGCATGGAGGCAGTAGGACAAGCTGGGATGAGAGTGGGTGGGGTCTGGGTCTCAATCTTCGCTGTGTTGAGCCTGGCTGGGGCCTGACATATTCCGCTAGGAGCCACAGCAGGAGGAGCACCTGGACCTGCCTGACAAGGAAATCCCCCAAGGCTCTGGGCTGAGCAGGGTATCTAGGAAGTTGCCAAGGGCTGTGGCCCACTCCCGTTTGGGGTATGAGGGGGCACAGAGGGGACTGATTTGAGGGCCTGGGTAAGGGCAGGCCTGGTGAGGCCTCAAGCTGAACTTTGAAACTGGGCTTGCATGTGACCCAGGGCTGAGAACCTGGGTTTATCTGAGCAGATAAAAAGATGAGAGTAAAAGCAGGATGTGTCCTGTGAGAACTCAGGAGGCCACCAACGTTCCACCTGTGTGGCCTGACCTTATAATAACAAAATAGCTATCACTCATAGCACTTTCTACGCGTTCCTGCCAACCCTGTTCTACTCACTTTATGTGTATTAATTCATTTAATACAACTCTATAGAATAGGTACTATTATTATCCCCATTATAATATGAGGAAACAGGCAGAGAGTTACAGAGAGATCTCAAGACCACTCAGGTAATAAGTGAAGCCAGGATTTGAACCGAAGTGATCAGGATCCAGAGTCTGTGCTTATGAATTTTCGAAATTTTTATCCTGACTTTTCCAAGTTGGAGATGAATTTAAACATACTGGGAAGGCGGGCGTGGGGTGTGCGCGTGCCCGCACACAAGAAATCATCGCTTGAGCCCAGAAGTTTGAGAACAGCCAGGGCAACATAACAAGACCTCATCTTAAAAGAAAAAAAAAAGTACTGGGAAAGCCAATTATGCTATAAAAAGTACTAGCTTGCCACTTCCGTTTTTGAGTCTTGAGGAGAGGGTGGCCAGAAGATAGGGATGATAAAACAATGATCGTGATAGTTGGCATCTGAAGGCTTTCCGTGTGCCAGGCACTTTACGCGAACGCCTTCATTTAAGTAAATATCTCCACTTTTCAGATGAGACAACTGAGCCTCAGAGCTGCCGGTGGTGGCCAAGCTAGTATTTAACACCTGCAGAGTTTGCTCTCTTAATCCCTGGGGCTTGGAGGGCGCTCTACTGGGAAGCGAGAGACTAAACCAGCACAGCCGCTCGCCCGCCTCTCAGCGTCCTGGTAACCTCCTTTCAAATTCCCTGCGCAGCTTTCTCCAGCCTGCGGGGCTGGGGTGCCGCTCGCGATTGGCCCGGATCGGGCTGTGGCCCCGCCCCCTCTTTGAGGGGTTTCCGATTGGGGGAGGCTTACGCAGCCCCGCCCCTCGGCGGTCGGAGCAGCCGGAAGCGAGCATGGCGGCCGCCGGCGCTGCGGCTACTGACCTAGGTGCTGTGGGCTCCGGGTGGGGGCCTGCAGCTCGCAGATTGCAAGGGGGGAATCCTGGGGTGGTGACTGTGGTGTGCGAGAGGTCCTGCAGACTCTGGGGCTCGGGGGTCGCTTCAGACGCGATCCCTTCAGACTTGGGCCGGGTCCCCTCGCACGGGGATCCCTCGGAACGCGGGCCGAGGGCCTCTGGGTGCGGGTTGCAGGGGCTCCTTCGCGCCGGGGGTGGGGCCGGCACCCGAGTGCGTTTTTGGCCCCTCACTCGGTTCCCGCGTATCCTTAGAGGTGGTCCGGGGAAAGCGCGCCGCCCTCTTCTTCGCGGCGGTGGCCATCGTGCTGGGGCTGCCACTCTGGTGGAAGACCACGGAGACCTACCGGGCCCCGTTGCCTTACTCCCAGATCGGTGGGCTGAATGCCCTGCAGGTGAGACTGCGGTGGGGGAGGGTCAGGGGACAGCTCACCAGCGAGGTGAGACTCTGCTGATGGCTCTCATGCTCCTTCCCACAGCTCCGCCTCATGGTGCCTGTCACTGTCGTGTTTACGCGGGAGTCGGTGCCCCTGGACGACCAGGAGAAGTTGCCTTTCACCGTCGTGCATGAGAGGGAGATTCCTCTGAAATGTGAGCTCTTGGGGCGGTCAGGGCTGCCTTTCTGGTCTGAACTCAGTCCAGAGGTGGGTTGGGTAGGAGGAGCATGGGTGTTCCATCAAGGTAGTCAAAAACTTAATCTTAAAGACCTCTCTGAATGAATAGCGTGTTTTGTTAGGGAAAAAACTAGTCCGGCTGGTCCAATGATAGTGGCTTATCAGAACTTAACTAACATTAGTGTCACTGACGTTGGTATACAACCCCCCACAGCTAAATTTGACTGGCTTAAAACAAACAAAAAAACCCACCTATCTTTAAATTCAGTTTCTGTGATTAAGGCGGTTTTCCTCATACATAATTATGCTACCTCATCAAAAGGAGTTGATGCCCATCAAAGTATAGGGGAGGAAGTGAGATGTAGTGGAAAGAACAGAGTTTGAAATTTCTTTTTTTTTTAATTTAAAATATTTCTTATTTACTTATTTATTTTTTGAGACAAGAGTCTCGCTTTGTTGCCCAGGCTAGAGTGAGTGCCATGGCATTAGCCTAGTTCACAGCAACCTCAAACTCATGGGCTCAAGCGATCCTGCTGCCTCAGCCTCCCAAGTAGCTGGGACTACAGGCATGCGCCACCATGCCTGGCTAATTTTTTCTATATATATTAGTTGTCCAATTAATTTCTTTCTATTTTTATAGTAGAGATGGGGGTCTCACTCTTGCTCAGGCTGGTTTCGAACTCCTGACCTCGAGCAATCTGCCCACCTTGGCCTCCCAGAGTGCTAGGATTACAGGTGTGAGCTACTGTACCCGGCCTAAACACTTTTCTGTTAGGCATTTTTAGGTGCCAGAAATTTGGTAATGAATAAGAAATTGATAATGATTTCAAGAAGTTCATAGGAAGGGGAGAAAGATAAAATAAATTACAGTAGAAGTATACAAGAAATAGGGATTGCAGTTAAGAAAAAGCCTTTAACTGTCTGGGAGGAAAGAAAGGCAGAGGTTTTGAGGGATGTAATTTTTAAGTTGGTTTTTAAAGGATGTGTAGGAATTCAGGTTAAATGGGAAGAGGAGGGAAGGAATTTCAGGCAGGGTGAATAGCATGAGCCAGTATTAAGGACAGCTAATAGTTGTTGTTCACTGCCTGCCAGAAACTAGGTGAAGCATTTTATATGTGTTGCCTCATTTAATTCTTTCTACTGTTGTGATCCTTGTTTTATAAATGAAGAAATTGAGACTTAGAGAGTTTAACTTGTCCAAAATCACACAGCTAACAAGAAGTGGAGCTGGGATTTAAATCCAGGCCTAAGGAAGCTGTCACAAAATTTAAAAAAAAAAAAAAAAATCAATCAATCCAGGCCTGATTACAGTGTGAAAACTTTTTTTTTATTATTATTACTATTTTTTGTAGAGATAGGGTCTTCCTATGTTGCCCAGGCTGGTCTTGAACTCCTGGCCTCAAGTGATCCTCCTGCCTCAGCCTTCCAAAGTGCTGGGATTACAGGCATGAGCTACCACATCTGGCCCCAATATCCAAGCTATTAACCAACAAACTCTACTCCTGTGTAAAAGCATGGAGAAGCGAATCAACATGTTGGGGGAATCATGAGCTGTTTTACCTTACTGGAATGTGAAGTGAAAGACTGGGAGTGATTAAAGATGTGGGCTGAGTCCAGACCATTAAGTGCCTGTATGCCATTTACTTTCTAGCTCTTTAATCTTGTTCAAGACATTTTTTTAAAAATCGTATTTCAGGCTGGGTACAGTGGCTCACGTCTGTAATCCTAGCACTCTGGGAGGCTGAGGCAGGAGAATCACTTGAGCTCAGGAGTTCGAGACCAGCCTGAGTTAAGAGTGAGACTTTGTCTCTACTAAAGATAGAAAAATTAGTCGGGCTTGGTGGTGTGTGCCTGTAGTACCACCTCCTCCAGAGGATGAGGCAGGTGAATAGCTTGAGCCCAAGAGTTTGAGGTTATATGGAGCTATGCTAAGGCCACTGCACTCTAGCCTCATCAACAGGGCACGACTCTGTCTCAGACAAAAAAAAAAAGTGAAGAAAAATAGAGCAGAACAGGGGTCGGGAGTTTTCTTGGGGAGTAGGAGGTGATTGCAATTTTAGGGTGCCCGAGGAAGGCCTCATTGAAAAGACCTAAAAAAAGTTGAGGGAATAAATTATGCAGATATGAGGTGGGAGGGAAGAGCATCTTGGCAGGGGAAAAAGCAAGTCTGAGGTAGGATCAGGTGTGGTACCTTACAGGAACAGTGAGAATCTCATTGTGGCTTAACTGGGGTGAATGAAGGAGACAGAAAGAGGAAATGAAATAAAACCAGAGCAGTAGAAGGGGCCTGGATCACATAGGGCCTGATAGGTTGCTGTGAGAATTTTGGCTTTTATTCTAGATGAGAAGGGAAGCCATTGAAAGTTTTTTTGATTTGTTTTTTAAACATAACTACCATTATCACACCTAACCAACTTAGCAATAATTCCTTAATATCATCTAATTCTCAGTCTATATTTAGATCTCCCCAGTTGTCTCAAAGGTGTCCTTTCACAGCTGGTTTATTCTAATCGGGATCAACACATTGCATTTGGTTAAGTCTCTTTTATTATACATCAGCTCTCCCACCCCAGCCACATACACGTCTTTTCATACCATCGATGTGTTGGAGAAACCAGGTCATTTGTTTTATGGAACATCTTGAATTTGAGATTTGGCAAATCA